TCTCTCTCTCTCTCTCTCTCTCTCTCTCTCTCTCTCTCTCTCTCTCGCCTTCACCTCCGTTCCTACTCGGTTGCAGTCACCCACACTGCGCCATGTAGTCCCCCAACGCCCTGTCCATCCTAAGTCCCGCACGTACCCGGTCCGAAACTGCGCCAGGGTTCGTCCCCCTCGATCGACCAACCAGTTGCCTACCACCTTCGCCCATCCGCCGCTATCCTTGTAGCGTAGCGTCAGGCGATCAGCTCGGCCGGGAGGATGGGCAGCAGCGGCTTGGGACGTGCGGATTTTGGAGGAGCTTCGTGAAGGATTTTGCCACGAAAACAGAGCATTTCAGGAAGTTGGTGCGTCAGGATCAGGAATGGGTCTGGGGCGAAGACCAAGAAGAGGCGGTTGGTAGAATGAAGGGAGAGTTTAAGGAAGGAGGCTTGGTATTGGGAGCGCCAAACTATGAGGCCACGGAGGAAAGACCTTTCGTCATTGAGACGGACGCTGGGCCAACTGCTTTAGGAGGAGTCCTGATTCAGGCAGATACTGAAGGAAGGGAGATACCACTAAGGTTTGAAAGTCGTACTCTCAATACGACTGAGAGGAACTACTCTCAGTTTAAGAAGGAGACGTTGGCAGTACTTCACTGCCTAAGGACCTTCCGGAACTATGTTTTCGGCAGAAGGCTTATTTGAGGGTGGACCCTACTGCACTTTCATGCTCCCTGAAGAAGTATACTCCATCTGATCCAACCGTCGCAAGATGGTTGACCTACATTTGGATGTTTAATTTCGAGTTGGAAAGGATTCCAGGGAACAAGAACAGGGCAGATGGGTTAAGCCGCATCAACTGGGACGGATCGGACCAGGAATCAATAGAAGACACTCCACCAGTTGATGTTTTTTTTTATCAAGAGGAGGACGTCCGCCTGGATATAAACGAATGGTCCCTACGAGTACCCAGTTGCGTCAGCCACCCCATATGGCTAGCGCCAAAGGGGTACGAGCAGAAGGAAGAGTTCGTCCTCAAGCCCTTCCAGGAGAAGGATCCGTGGGGAAGCCAGGATGTCGGCTGGATGATGAAGTTGGCTTTGGCTGGTACACACAGTTTGGTGGAGGAAGTGAGAACGATAGAGGAAAACCCCGCTCAGGTAGAGGAGCATGAGCAGCTAATGGGAGGGATGTATCTGCTCACTAATACGCTCCTGCAAGGAGACTTCAATCGGAGGGGCTCGTTCAGTCGTGAGGCAGGTGAAATTTTAATTCCTGAAAGCCAGGACGACGAATTCGAAGAGGGGGAGATTAAGGAGGCGTTTTTGGCAGAGGAGTACGATGGAATCTACCGGGAATTGGGATTGCTCCTATCATGTGAGATGAGGGATAAAGATGTCAGTGCCAAGGCCCAGAAGATGAGGCACATGTATGTGATAAGAGACGGCCACTTGTTTATAAAGCAGCAGGTCGGGAACCCCAAGAGGATCATATGCGGGAGGAACCAGCAGATTGATATCATAGCAGCCTTACACAATGGTATAGCAGGGGGGCACAGAGGGATAGGTGCCACATGCGCTAAGATAAGCGAGCTGTACCATTGGGATGGGATGCTGACTATGGTCATCAAATACTGCCAGTCCTGTGTGCCTTGCTAGGAGAGGTCAGCGCAAAGGCCTGGGGAGCCCCTACACCCAAGGTTGGAGAGGGAAGTGGGTGCGGTCGTACACCTGGACCTGTTATTCATGCCAGCAGGGGAGAATGGGCGTAACTACATCTTCGATGCACGGGATAACCTTATTGGGTTTGCGGATGGTCGAGCTATTCGGACGAAGACTGACCCAGTTTTGGCAAATTGCATCGAGGAGTACTACATGCGCTATCCTTTTGTCAAGGAGTTCGTGATGGACAGAGGATCGGAGTTTACCTGCAATGAGGTGCGAACCCTGCTTACAGGGTATGGCGTAGTGGCTAACTATACTACGGCCGCGGATCCTCAAGCGAATGCACCTTTGGAGAGAGGGCACAGTACCATCACGAATCTCTTGGCTAAGTGGACAGAGGGCAAGCCTGGTCAGTGGCCGAAGTTCTTACGAGCGACTTTCTTCGTAGAGAATATTACTGTGAAGAGGACTACCAAGTATGCGTCAGCCACGCTATGGTACGGGAGACACGCCACCTTTCCTATAGAAAGTTTTATGAAGACGTGGAGACGCCAGGACCTGAAAGTGAACCTGTCCTTCAAAGAACTGCTCGATATTCGGGCGCGACAAGTGGGGGCAGCCGAGGAAAGACTGCGAGAGGCCGCGGATCAGGTAGAGAAAAGCCGCATGGAGGATAAGATGAGGTGGGACCAGATGGCGCGAGTAAGGAAGGAGCCGTTGGCAGTGGGGGACGTTGTGTTACTGTACGACTCCTCTCTGGAAAAGCAATGGTCGAGGAAGCTTTACAAGAGATGGATGGGCCCCTATAGAATTTTGCGATGTGGTGAATTTGGGGCCTATCAGATCGAGGAGCTGGACGGGACAGGCTGGCAGAATTGGGTATCAGGGACCAGGCAGAAGAAGTTTGTGGCCAGGGAATAGGTAAATAACTCTCCATTCTTCAGAGTGAACTAGCCCTTGAGGTGTTGCATGCTATGGTCAGGTTGGGTGGGGGAGTAGGAAAGGGCATGTGTGTTGTCCCAAGGGTTAATGGGTTGATGGCTAACCTTGTTGTGTGCCTGCTTGCTTTCTCTCGCCTGTTGTGCAGGTCTGACTTTTCGAAGACAGCCATGCAGAAGGGCGGGAGGGGCGTGCGGCCACGACAGAGGCCTCAAGGAGCATCAGGAAGGGAGGACTCACGCAGACCGTTTGGGAGGGAGTCTACGCCTATCTTCAACGATGATAACATAGAGCTCTTTCTGGACTCCTACCAGGCGCATGCGGCGCGGGAGGGCTGGTCTACCTTGGAGAGGATACGACACCTGAAAGGAGTTGGGCGCTTTGAGGAGCCTATTGCGCACATCCGGGAGGAGGCTTTGACCTGGCAGGATGTGGAGACGAGGATGCAGAGGCTGAGGGCTTCGCCACTGGGACCGGATGGGCTGCCTATTCGGTTGGAGGAAGGTAATGCGGAGGAGTTCATCCCGGCCTATGAGCAGTATATGCGCGACCAGGGGACTGGGCAGGAGGAGTGGATGCAGACGCTGCCCCTCTAGATGTGGAAGGCGGAGAGGCCGTTGGCGAGGCAGATCCAGAACAGGGCACGTGATTGGGAAGACTGCCAGGCCCAATTGAGACAGGCATTTCAGCGACTGGAGCCCGAGAGGCCAGACCCCAGGGTGGAGAGACAGCAGAGGAGCAAGAGGCCACGGGATCCGGAGGCAAGAGGAGCTACTATGACTAGGGGAGGCCGAAAGGCCTTGACACGATGAGAGGAGCCAGTGGAACCCGTCCAGGCGGCGGAGCCAGTTTAGGTCGCGGGGCCGTCTCAGGCAGCAGGGCTACCCCCTACCGACGGACTCGAGCGGGTGGAGTTTCGCCGGATCACGGACAGTGATCTACGGGGCCCGTCGCCGACATTACCAGAGGAGGGTAAGGTTTTGCCATTGAGGACCCCGCTCGACAGTCTAGAGGCCCATCTCGATGCGTCCCAGTGGGGGGCGTCACAGTCGGAAGTGGACCAAGGCGGACCAGCATGGTATGAGCCAGTCGAGGATGAGCCGGAGGAGGAGCCGCCAGAGCCGGGGCCTGAGGTGGGGCCTCGTGGACCCGAGGGGCCGCAGACTGAGGGGGTTATCATTGTCGGGGACGATACCCCTCCCCCTGCCCCGATTCTGGAGCAGGCGCGACAGTATTGGCCTCAGGGAATTCATGAGTCGGACAGCAAGGTGATGTTGGGGCCTCCATCGAAAGCTACTACGCCACCTTCAACGCAGGCGGAACCAGAGGAGAGCGAGAGGGCGAGGGCACCTACTACTGTGGCACCACAAGTAACCGAGCCTACAGATGAATGCATGGATGTTGAGGCGTTGACATCCGGGGAGCCTCTGTCGGGGCCGCCGCCCGCAGAGGAGGGGACGAGTGAGAGAGACCCACTACGAGAGGCCCAGGAGGTGCGGGCAAGGAGGCCATCAGGAGAGACGAAAGAAGAAAAGCACGCGAGAGTGCAGGTACGTTTCGAGGAGCTATACCAAGAGAAGGTTAGGATGGAGGCCGCATGAGAAGCACCGAAGCCACCAGTTGACCCTCCGACGAGCGAGCAGAGGATTGACGAGATTTGGGACAGCTATGAGGGTAAGAGGGATGCTGTTCGCCTAAGGTCACGAGAGGCAGGACAGGAGGATGCGAGGGTGGACGAGGTACGAGAGACAGGGGACCTGTGGTTTTCAGCCACCAAGATGGCGATCGAGCGCACAGATAGGAGGATACGCGAGGTGGCGGTCTCGTCCTTTCAGCAGTATTCCATGCTCAGCAATGAGTTGGCGGCCTCGAGGTTAGAGGTGGAACAATTGTCCACCCAGTTGGAAGAAGAGAGGGCAGAGAACCAAGCATGGAGGTCCCGCATGGAAGCCAAGGAGGCAGAATGGGAGAAGAGGCTTCAAGATATGGCGGCGATGGTAGAGAGGCTCTCGGCCACTAAGGTGGTCGACTGGACCGAGCAGAGCCGGTATGGCATTCAGGGGAAGGAGGTGCAGGGACTTTTTGGCCAGGAAGGGATGACAGAGCCACCTCAGGAAGGAGAAATGGGGAAGGTATTCTTGGACCCAACGGAGGTGGCAGCAAGGCGGGAGGCCGAAGAGGGGAGGTTCAGCTTCAGGACCCCCACGGAGTTGGCCTCGCCACAGGCCACCCTTATGACGTTTGAGATCCCTGAAGACGAGCCGGCGCAGAGACCCCGACCTCATGTGGCGGGAGGAGGCCCCGCAGAGGGGTCCCCTACAATACTTTTGGAGGTACAGGAGGGTGCCCTTACGGGAGCAGTAGCATCCACTGAGCCTGAGGCGATGGAGGGAGAGGCATCTCAACTAGATGCGCTAGTGGCGGCTATGGAGCTGGACATGCCGTCGGGAGAGCCTCAGAGACAGGAGACCCCGAAGCGTGTACGAGAGATGGGGGAACAGAGGACACAGTTAGGCTCCTGGGCTACTGGGGCTGACTCATGGGAGTACATCTCATAGCAGCAGCACGAGGTTATGAGTGAGTCACTGGCCGCTGTGACTCCCCTGCCTTTAGACCCACGTAGGAGTGAGGGGACGATTGTGATGGGAGAGGTCCGCGAGGGTAGGCCACTGAGATTGGACACTCCAGCGTACCGACCCGAGGGAGATGAGATGCTAGCAGAGCCGAGTACCCAGATGATGGAGGCAGGACTAGCGGAGTCATGGAGTATGCCCCAGAGCCACGAGATGAGTAAAGAGGCCAGTGAGACACCATCATTACCAGGATCCCAGAAGAAGAAGAGGAGGTGTCGAGGGAGGTCAGATGATCGGTGCTTCCTTTGTACGCATGGCGTACATAGGGCTCTTGAATGCCCAAAGTTCCTCAAGGATAAGGCGGCTGGGAGAGTGACGGAAAGCGGCGGAAGGATGTACGACAGACAGGGGCGAGTGGTAGAGCGGGCTCCAGATGGGGGTAGGGCACAATTGTATAGGCAGAACCAGGAGGTCATGAGTGAGTAGGGGCTGGTCTGTCCATATGACAGTAGGACTAGAGTTCCTCTGTACACAGAGGTCGGGTTAGAGATGTACATACTTTGAGTCGGTTGAGTGGGTTCTAGGGGCGTGCACGTTTGGGTTCGCCGCGAGAGTCCTGTCTAGTTGTACATACATAAGTGGCAGGGTTTGATCGGTCTTTCGGCTTTGTGTGTGATACAATGTAGGAGATGAGATTTGGTTGTGTGATATCAATGACTATGTGATATGAGTGTTTGTCCTAGAGGTTAGGAAACCTTGTTGATGGTTTTGAGTGGATCCTGAAAGCCCATAACACTTGTGGTGTGGGTTTACCCCATGGAGTGAGACAGTGGACTGAGTATTTGGTTGATCCCGGAGCAGGCACTCCATTCCTAAATACATCCTACGAGTTGAGTGTGTGAGAGTCGGAGTTGAGTGTTGTATTGAGACTTGAGGGAGATATTTTGCCCCCAATTACATTTGACGTCAGACTCTGTGGGATCTATTATTGTGGCGATCACGATCACTCTCACACGTGTGGCTTTATCCCGATGTATGATGGCTTTGTGTGAGAGATGTGTGGGTTACATCTCATGTATTTTGTATTGTGCAAATGTGATATCGTCTACTCCCCGGTATACTCGCGCGGCCTGCTTTTAGGCAGGTGAAACGACCGAGTATAAGGGGAGGCAGTGCGGTTGTTTTGTAACAGATGTGTAAGGACCCTAAGGGGTCTTGCGAGCCTGTAAGGCTAGGATGCTTACCATGCCGAATGTTTATGGCTGAGTTGTGGGGGGGGACCCATAAGTTGGCCCTCGGTTTGAGTCGTCTCATGTTTAAGTTGGAGAGACGACCCATAAGAAGGCCTCTTAGTTTGAGTTGTTCTATGGTTGAGACCCCTTCAGGTTATGGAGGGTGGAAGAGTTGTTCATTGACAAACCCATCCCCAAAAGAGGGCGAGGCTGTAAGAACCAGGTCGCGTGATAGTCGATCCTATAAGAAGAGAGGGATGGCTGGGAGACCTATTGAGAGAGACCTCCTTCATGTGAAAAGTGATTAATAGATTTAATGACACGGTAAGCAATATTTGAGTGATAAATCTGACGAAAGGAACCAAGATTACGGTCAGAACCATTGGTGGAACTGAGAAGGTCGCAAGTCAGTGCATAAAGATGTCGTGGGATGTGTGGTCTGCTGTCTCTGATCAAGTCAATAGACCACAACCTGGTGTGAGCCTAGCGGTGAAATTGTTTGTGATTGTGACAGGGGGGGCCGTGTTCCCTATGTTGTCCCATAGGGAGCTGATAAACATCTCTGAAAGTGAGACAGACCCATGCGTAATCCCGGAGTGGGCCTGTGGTCCGTTTTGCGACGCACCGTCTAAACACCGGCACTAACCCTAAGGCATATTGAGGAATACCAAACTAAACGGTAAAGGTTAGCACCTCTAGGGTGCAACCCCTATTGGATGGCTGCAAGCCAGCACAACCTGGCTGCAAGCCCATGTCTACCCACAGGGTAAGAGTTTAAGGGGTTATGCACGCCTCGGGGAAATTACTCCGGCGGGATGGCGGGGATACGGTCGAGTCGTTTGGGCGCCCTGATTGAATGTTTATCAGGAGAGAACCTATCGTTGCATAACCAACGAAGGGACAGCCGCTAAAGTAACAATGCGGTAGGCCGTAGATCTGGCTCGATCAACCAGACTATGGTGGGCCAGGATCGGGACCTAGCATTTCTGTACTAGACCGCAGAAAGAGCTCAGTGGAGATTTACGTATATAGATGTATATATCCAATTGTAAGGATTGTGAGAGGAAGGTGAGGATGCTTTCAGAGGTCTCATTTAAGGCCCGCGTTCCTGGATATGACTCTACTTACGAGACAGAGTCTAACGGGGACACTCAACGAGAAGCCGGCGTTTGTCTAGGACGAAGGGGAGAGGACGGTTTGAGGTGGCCTTTGGAACTTATGCTGTAGTATTGATGCCTAATACACCGGCGTCCTAATGTCAGGACATTGGAAACCCAGGTTGAAACTCTGGCAGCATATAGTTATGTTGGCACAGATTGTTGGGGGCTTCAACCCTGAGTCTGTCGGCTAATCGGATTGGTTCCGCTCTCGTCACCATTTGGAGTGTGAATGAGTTTGTAGCTTTCTGATTTGGTGTAGCGACGGGGACGTCGCTTAATATAGTCCGGTAGGCTGTCGGTGCGAATACCCTTACAAGGGTATCCGCCCTGGTTTTTGCAAATGACAGAAAAAATGGGTTTGGTCGGCATAAGTCGGGCGAGGTGCGGCCGCGGCCGGGACCCGTCCTGACTAAGTTAGAGGGTATGTGGGCGCACAATATTAAGGCGCGCGTGTGATTTTTTCTGATTAAGCGGGCGGCCGGCCGCAGATCCGGATCGTGTCATAGGTTGGTTAAGGGGCAAGGGTTCGTTCATGATTGGTATGCGCGACCGACGGTAGGACTGTCACGCCGGTAGGCGCACGGGGCGGTCACGACAGGGTCCAAGTAGGCCGGCGCGGGTGCCGGGTGTTGGCGCGCCAGTTGCAGGAAGGAAGAGAAGGCTTGGGCTGTTTTTCCCAGACCTAGGGACGGTGTGGCACCACTTCATATGGAAGTTTGCGCGTTACTGTGCCAGGCTTGGGCTTAGCCCTATGGGTTACGGTACTGGATTATTGCTATGGAGGTTCAGGGATTGAGCTCGACGGGCGTCGGCGCGGCAGCGGCGGAGCGTCGTGGAGAAAACTGAGGGGGTTGAGGGCCTGACCGGGCTATCCTCCCTTGGTTTTGGTGGTGGGCGCGACTACGGACCCGGTCCATAGGACCGGTGGGGTACCGGCGGTTCCCGCTCCTTGGTTAGGATTTTTTTTATATATGTTATTTCATTTTATCTTTGTTTTCAGTTTATTTCTATTTATCGTTGTCACCATAATTCGCGACCCCGTTTGACTCGGGACGCGGTACCAAGGTTGGGTGCCCAGATTTCTGTTGAAAAGCGGCGGGGGCCAGGCGGGTGCGACAGGCAAGGAGGGTGGGTTCGTCCCCCTCCTCGCTAACAGGTTGGGCCGGCCGACCATTGGCGCCGCCACGGGCGAGGCGATGAGCAGAGACCGGGAGTGAACTTGGGCGGGGCCTGGGGCGTGCGAGCACAAAAAGGGATAAAGTAGGGCATGCCGGTAGCCGGTTTTTTTTTGCTCTTGGCACTCGAGTGTTGTCGGATCAGTCGCTCGGTGCCCGAGGTATTGGAGATTGTGTCGTAGTAGGATGATGGTTGACGGCAACGGGAAGACGAGGGCGAGGTAGCGAAGTAAGGAGGCCGTAGCGCGCTCGTCTAAGCGGGATTGAGTTGCATCCGGTGCTGTCGGGTTGAGGAAGCGGACGGGCCGAAGCAGAACGGCGTAGTACGGGCAGAGGGGACGAACCCGGGCGCGGAAACACGCCAGGTGCACGCGGAATGGAACGGAAGAACGTAGTGGCGGGGGGGCAAGGCTGTGGTGGACAACGAAGATGTTATCACGCCCGACTCTTGATGAATTCGGGCGAGAGAAGACTCTGAGTGGGGGTTTTCGGGGCCTGCGACCCCGAATCTGAGACCAGATCTACCAGGAGGTAAGTGTAGAGAGAGTAGTAAAGGATAGGGGTGCGAGAAACTATGGCAGGAGCGAAGAGGAACGGGGGAGAAAAAATCTGAATTCCTTCGTTTCTTGACAAAACGAACGAACGAAGGCTCGAAACCGGGGTTTTAAGGTCGGGCGACACTGATTTCGAAGTTAGTTCTAGCATCAGGAAGGTAGGAAGAAAGGTTAGTGAGGAGCTGGGTGCGCTGAGGTATGGCGGAGTGTCGGGGGAGAGAGAGAGCACGAGGGAAGGAGCACGTACCTTGGCCGTTCCACAGTGGGATTAGGCGAGCGAAGATTACAAGTTGGGGTTCTGGGGCATTGTGAGTATGATAGTGCTACTGGACCTGGGGGCGGCGGTGTGCTTTTGGCAGGTACGGCGAGTTTGGGTTGTGCCCAGTGCGTGAGCTTGCGCACGGTTGGTCTTGGCCAGAATGATGGTCAGGTGTCGTCACGCTTGGAACGACAGCGAGGGCTGGTACGATTCGGTGGAGATGCCTCGGGGAAGTTCGAACAAATGCAGAGAGGGGGAGGGGGATTACTTATCGGGGGATGGAAGAAAAACCGTGGCAGGGGCGTCGCCTGTGTAGTTAGAGGGAGTAGAAGGAGCGTAGCCGGACGGGTTTCAGCAGTAGGTCTCTCTAGGCTCACGCTACTGACAGTGGAAGCAGTTGGGAACAAAGCACGGGATCGGAACCTATCCGCCGAGCGAGGGTCGGTGGCATACACGTTGGGGTTGAGCGTTGGAGTCCGGCGCCTTGAGACGGTATGCTGGCGCAGGCGACTGTTGTCGTTGGTTTCAGATACGTTGGTCGGGTGTTGGGCGTTCCGCTGCTGTATATTTGCCGTTCACTTGTAACTGAACGTTTTGCTACAGCCGTGGTTAGGCTTGCTGCGAATTGCTGCGCTGCTTCAAGAGCAGTTGTTTGGGGCCACGTGACTACGGCATACCGCTGCTCCGGTTGACCGTGCGCCAGTGCTATTCCCGTTGATTACGCACGAGCTGTTGCTGCGCCTGCACACGAACAGCTGTGGCCGGCTACCGTGACCTGTTGCGGTTGCGGGTTGATTGCGCACGAGTGCTGTGTCCGTTGACTGTGCACATACGAACTGTTGCTATTGCTGCTGGCCGTGCGTGAGCGGCTGGCTGCCTGGCTGCACGGACAACTGATACCCTTGCTAACTGGGAACGAATGGTTGCTGCATGTTAGAGTATACAACTGCTGGTCGTTACGGGCTGTTACCATGTGGCGATTGGCCGGAGGAGACGTGTTGGAATCCAGAGGGGTGATTGGACCGAGCAAGTAGGGGGAGGGGGAGGTTAGTAAAGCAGTTCGAGGAGTCGTCGGGAGTTCGACTTCAGTGGTTCGACCCAGAGAGTTGACTCAACGGTTACCTTTTGGCTGCCATTGCGGGGCCCTCATGCGAATCGAGAAATCAAGGTCCTCTCCTGCGAGTCTGAGTGCACCTCTCTTGGATCTGAGAGACTCAAACTTCCTCCTTCTGCCCTTCTTATTCTAAGTCTAGTCCAGTCCTGAGAGGAAGGCGGCAGGCGGGATTGCAACCCGTAGGACCGCAGCAAGACTCTGTCGGGAGTCATCCCACCGATTGCGGGAGCTCTGCCGGGACTTAGGAGGAGTTCTGAAGGCAGGGAACTGAGAGGCAACCATTGCTCCCCTTCTATATGCCCTCGTACAGCCCCTATCTGTACATCTAGCTATGGTTGATTGAGTATACTATATGCACCCCTATTTTGACTTTGGATTGACTGGCAGGACACAAGTCAGACTAAATAAAGGAGTGTGTGTGTGCAATCGCAGTTTCAGTTTGTTGATTGCCTGAAGGCAGATTGTGAACATAAGGGGTTGCATCTGGGGGAAGGGTGGGTGAAAGGTGGTTTTGCCTGAGGCTGACAGGGTCCTATGGGGTCAGACCAGTTCCATAAGATTGAACGGCCTGACCGCTGTGTTTATTTTTGAATTGCATGGAGGGTCAGACCAGTTTCATAAGATTGGACGGTCTGATTGCTCTGAATTGTGGGGGTTTGACTGTGACTGACTTTTCAGGGGCCAAACCTGTACCATAAGATTGGAGGGTTTGGTTGCCATGTTTGATTGGGGTTTGTTATGTTTCTTTTGTTTTTGATCGAGGAGGCCTGAGCAAGTCCATAAGATTGGACGGCTCAGCACCTTCCTGTTTCATTCTGAGGGAGTAATTCTCGCTGAGGGCAGGGCACGTCCATAAGATTGGACGGCCTTGGACTCATGCCGCACGCAGTGGATCAGAGAGAAAGGAACCTGGCAGAGGACCAGATATGTTCCATAAGATTGGACGGTCTGGCCCAAAGCCTCGCACATGTTGGAACCCAAAAGGTTAAATTTTGACTATATTTTATACTATCCTATTTATGAACAGGCTAGTCAGGCATGGGTTCCATAAAATTGGACGGTCTGGCTATAGCTTATCATGAAATGAAGAGAGTATAACTAAGAGTATAATTGAAGGTAACCCTGGGCAGGCTGGGCCTTGTTCTAAGATGAACGGCTCAGTCTTATGCCCAACTTTTCAACACCAAGCTCAGAGAGGTATATATAACTTTGATATTAAACAGTTCAGAGTGGCTGAGCCTTGTTCTAAGATGAACGGTTTGGTCATATGCCCCAAAAGGAAGAGAGAAGTGTTTGTGCAACATGTTCG